TGTGTGTGTGTGTGTGTGTGTGTGTGTGTGTGTGTGTGTGTGTGTGTGCGCGCGCACATGACTACAGGCGCCCACAGAAGCCAGAGTCACTGAATCCCCAGGAAGTCGAGTTACAAGCAGGGTGAGCCATCCAGTTGTGAGCTGGGAACTAAACTCTAAAAGAGCAACACAGCTTTTAACCACTGAGCCATTGCTCCCAGCCTGAGTGCTGTTCTTTAACGCTAATTCTATGAAATTCTAATCACCTCGGGCAAACATGAACACCAGGAACTTGTGTAAAATTTCAGTGTCCTGGTGCGGTCAGAGAGCATACTAGAACAGAGTGAGCTAAATGCTTCCCTGTTGGGTTCAGGCACGGGACAGCGGGATTCTAAAAGGCAGAGAGAAATCTCTGCATTGGCTTGCCCTCCGCAAGCTAGAGCACATTTGTTGCAGACCTCCTGACAGCCAATTATTCGCAAGTCAGGAGGAGGACAAACTGAATGGGAGTGTGAAGAACTAGTTATGGAAAGAGCCTGAGTGACAAGCTCTGTGGTAGCCTAGAGGCTCACTGCTTTCTCTCCTTCCAAGCCAGTGACAGCTGGAGAGTTGCCTCGCAGAGAGCCTTCCTTTCTTCCTTCTCCTCACCAATGACATGAGAGTACATTGCTTCAGAATAAAATAATGTGGGGAGAAAAGAATGCTGAACCCTCAGTTATGCTGTCGTATGAGGCCAGCATTCAGTGGATGCCACCTGTTGGAGAAGTCAGAACTCAGAACTAATTCAGGAAGACTGGAATGGTGGTGCCAGTGCTTGACTTCCCTGGGTTTGGTTAAACTGGCTTGTTTGTTTGTGTTTGTTTTTGTTTTTATCTTGTTGTTTGCTTGTTTGGTTGATTGGTTGGTTTGCTTTTGTTTCTTGAGGTAGAGTTTCTCCATGCTGCCCTGGCTGTCCTGGAATTTACTCTGTAGACCAGGCTGGCCTCAAACTCACAGAGATCCACCTGCCTCTGCCTCCTCAGTGCCAGGATTAAAGGTGTGTGCCATCACTGCCTGACTGGCTTGTTTTTAATCTGAGTTCTCTTTGCCTTCTTCTAAACTGCCTTCTGACTTGATTTAAAATATTTTAATCGATGAAAGTCTTATGAAATATTTTTTAAATTAAAAAAAAACAAAAGTCAGATACTCTTATCGCAGTAAAAGCACACAAACCCAGAGAAGTGTTGTTATTAAAAACAAAATCCCAAATGTTGGATTTTACCAATAAAGACTCAGGAGCCAGATGCTGGGGTGAAAGCCTGCTAGCTCAGCTGGCCTTCCTACTCAACTCAAGTCCCAGATGGAAAAAGCCCTTTCTTCTCCAGGATGTCTTAAATACCTTTCAACTCAATGTCCCTCCTTTTCTTTCCTCCCTGTCAGCTGGTTACTTGCTATGGCTCTTGACCTCTTAACTTGATTTAAGCCTGTTTTCAGAAAGCTCTTGAATAAAAGGTGTGTGCCAGGGCTGAGCCACAGCACAACAAACAGAAAGCTCTAAGATCAAAGACTGAGCCAAACCATGATTAGAAACAGGTTTTTTTACAGTTCATAATCTCGGGGTTCACAATGGGATCAAATACCCTGCAACAAAGAGTGTACTATTTTGTTATATTCTCTGTTAGTGATTTTCCCTAATTTAACATATTTTCCCTAATTTAACATAATTTCCCTAATTAAACATAATTGTTTAAATTATGCAGGTATGTTATAGCTGTGTCTATTACATGACTATAGCACTGATTGCTTACTAAGCCCAGCAGTGTTCTAAGTCCAGGTTTGCTAATTCACCCAACTGTCATGTGTTAGCTTGGTGCTGACATTATCCTCATCTCAGTGCTGTGACAACTGAAGGGTCACATGGCTTCTTCACAGTTATTAGGCAACAAGGAAATGATAGACTGGGCATCAGATCCTGGCAGGCTTGCTCCAGATCACTATATAAGCTCGAAACCACCCAGATGTTTTATTTTCCTCCTTAGAAAGCTTCATTTCACGGAGAATGGTGCATTTGTTAAATAGCTATACTTCGGTGGATTTGTCAGCTTCATATTGCCATAAAGAAACAATGAAGCAATGAGTTTATATTTCAAAAGATAGGCTTTGACATTCAATTTTAAGATTTGGGGCCGGGTGTGATGGTAGCGTACACCTTTAATCTCAGCACTCAGGAGGCAGAGGCAGGTGAGTTCAAAGTCAGCCTGCTCTACATAGTGAGTTCCAGGACAGCCAGGCTATGTAGTGAGACCCTGCCTCAAAAACAAACAAGCAAACAAACAAAAAATAAAGAAAACAAACAAACAAGAAGATCTGGTAGCTCTATTGTTCTGAGCTTGTTGAAGATAACAGATGACAGTGGCTTTCGCGTCAGTGAGAGCTGTCCCTGGCACACACCAGGAAGCAGAGAGAAAGGGTGCGATCAAGAGCGCACAAGTCCTTTAAAGTTTTTAAATATTTTTAGTTTATGCGTACGAGTGTTCTGTTCTCATGCATGTACGTGAAGCATATGTGTGCAGTGTCTGAGGAGGCCAGAAGAGGGCATCAGTACTTGTGGAACTGGAGTTACAAATGGCTGTGAGCCACCATGCGGGCGCTGGGAACTGAACCTGGGTCCTCCGCAAGAGCAGCAGGTGCTCCTAACCGCCGACCTATCTCTCCAGCCCCACCCCAATTTCTTTTGAGGGAATGTGCCAGTGACCTCGGGACCTCCCCAAAGTCCCAGTTCTCACCGGTTCAGTCACCTCCTGATGTCACCGCCCTGAGGTAAATCGTTAATACGTGGACTTTCAGAGAGCATTTGCCAAGCCATAGTAACCATTTACTTTTAAAAATTGTTTAACTTTATTATTCTTTCTCTCTCCATCTCTGTGTGCGGGTGCACAGTATGTGTGGGCACTCATCCATGACACACGCATCATATCTCTCCTTCCACCTTTATATGGTTTCTGGATGTTGAACTCAAGTCACCAAGTATGTGTGTATGTGTGTATGTGGGGAGGGGTGCATGTACATGCTAATGTTTGCGGAAGCCAGAGGACAGCCTAGATGCCATCCTCAGGCCACCAACTCCTCAGTTAGCCTAGACCATCAGGCCAGTGACCCCAGCGATCCTCCTGTCTCCACCTCCCTAGAGCCCCCATGCCAGGCTGTGTGTGCGTTTGTGTATGTGTGCGCGCATGTGTGTATATGTGTGTGTTACTGGGGCCTGAACCGAGGAGCTCACACATGTGAGGCAAGCCCTCACCTAGTGACCTTTCTCCCACCTAGCCATCACACAGACAGTTTGTACTTGACCAAAAACATCCTTATGTAGTGCCTGGCTGCATAAGTCCTTATTTTGGGGGTGGGGAAGGTAACACATGAATATAAAAGACAAGTTTCTCAGGCCAAACTCTTCAAATCTGTGAAGGTCGTTTGTTTTTTATTTTTATTTTTATCGTTTTCAAATGTTGCCTTGGGGGAAAGCCCAGATGTGGCCCTGTCTCCCCTCCCAACTTGCCAGGGTTCAAAGAGCAATAATTTAGAAACCGAGGTTGCCATGGCAACACAATCTGTTTAGAGTGTTACGAAAAAATAAGCTTCCGATCTAAGTTAGTGCTCTGGCCCTTTGTGGTGCTGGGGGTCACGGGAACACGCCTTTGACTCTCCTCTCCCTGTGCCAAGGGCTCTGTTTCAGGAATTTTGCTTAGTTTTATGACAGCAGGGTGCCTCCCCTCCCCGCGTGAATGGAATTGAGAGAGTGCGCTATGCAGCATAGTAATTTGAGAAGTAATTACTAAGGAAATTGCCTTCAAGTCCCCTTCCCACCTTAATTTTCCAAGGAAGCACCAGATGCCAATTTCAGACTTTTAACACAAGGGCTGTCCAGAGCTGTTGAGAACTGACAATTTATGTAGGGGTTTACTTGCTGCCGGGGAACAAAACCCCACAGGTCTGGGGGGGTGGAGGTGCCGGGGAGGCAGGAAGAGTGGGCTCAGACTCCACGGCTACCCAGAGGGCTCTCTCCTTGAGGACATGGCCTCAGGCTCGGCTGCTACCCACTTCCCATCATGCTCTTGCCTTAGGTCAATGTCTCCCCGCCCACCCAGCCTCGCTCTTTCCTCAAGGGAACCTGCTATGACCCAGACTGTACTGTCTGCATCGTCCTGGAGATGGAATGCAAGCTGATGGGTTTACGCTTTCTCCCTAGACTCTGGAGAACTAACGTGTGAGAACCAGGCCCTGGCAAGGCAGTGTAACCTGCCTGGAACTGAAGTGGCTGTGTTTGTCCCGCAGGTCATGATGCTGATCCGGAACCACCCCGTCCCCATCGTTGCCATGGTCAATGGCTTGGCCACAGCGGCCGGCTGCCAGCTTGTTGCCAGCTGCGACATTGCCGTGGCAAGTGACAAGTCCTCTTTTGCCACCCCTGGAGTGAATGTTGGACTTTTCTGCTCCACCCCCGCCGTTGCCCTGGGGAGAGCGGTGCCCAGAAAGGTAACCGAACTGCTCACGGGTTTCCAGAATTAGCTTGGGAAAAGTACCTTTGGGGAGGCAGGAAGATGGTTGACACCCAAGCAGGAATTGCTGAGCTCGGTCCAGAGTCCACACAGGAAAGCCAGGTGCGGTGGTGCATACTTGTAATTTCCATGCTGGGAAGGCAGACACGGAGGAATCCTGGGGCTTGCTGGCCAGCCAGCCTAGACACTCAGGGAACTCCAGGCCAGTGAGACCTGTCCCCTCCACACAAACAAGGTAGGTGGTGTCTGAGACACCACACCAGATTAGCCTCTGGCTTTTACACCCCCCACACACACACATACACACACACACACACACACCCCCCCCACACACACACACACACACAGAGACCACAGTATCTTCTATCTTCTATACTGGATGATCTGTCCAAAGGCCACAACTGTTCCTTCTGTGCTGGGCAGAGAAGAGCCCACTGCCTGTGCCTCTGTAGCATCAAACACCAACCTGTGTGTGTGTGTCAACCTGTGAACTTGCCACATTTCAATCTCACAAGTCCCTCAGTGTGACTTGGGTTTTCCATCTTCTGGAGAGCATAGACTTTGTCTAATCTTACTTGAAATGCAGTTGAAGCGGTTTTGTTATGTTACACTAAACAGCTGCCCGTGGGACACAGTAAACAGCATGCTGCCTTGGTGCCAGTGTCTCGGGGCTGAGACTGAGTTTCTGGCTAATGACTTCTTGACCATCCCTCTCAGTCCAGAAAGGATTTGAAGTCGGTGATTTATGGTGCTGGGTTTACAATGCTTAGACCAGCACTGCCGTGTCCGGACTCTGAGTCGGCACGAGAAGCCGCTGGATGCTGGAGCTGTCTCGTCATGACTGATGGCAGCCAGGTCCATTCCCCTCGAAGAGCTTTCTTCCTTCCTCAGCCTCACGGAATAGCATCTAGGGAGCATCCCTGACATGGGAGACCCCAGTGTCTGCTCCAGGAGAGAGGCATCGCCTTCTCCATGGGAAGTGTGGAAAGGGAGGGGCAGATCATGTATGCGGCAAGCACAGAAGTGAGCTGCTCCCTAGAATGGATTATCCGTTTTTAAAACAACTACAAAAATTAGCAGAGGCTCGCACACCTGAGACACTAAAGAAGTCAGACCCGAAGGGAATCTAGCAGCAGAACCACGAAGTCGCAGGGGGGCTTTCTTCCACCCTCAGTAGTTTTTGCACAGATGTGCGCTCCAGGGGGGAGTCTGTGGTTAACTCCAGACCTGTGCTGACCAGAGGCTGGAAGTGGGCTACACGCCGCAAGAGCGGATGGTTTGCTCAAGCATCTTCCATTTTTTTATTGTCTTAGGTAGATACTTGCCTTAAGTCCATCCATATTTAGTATTTCTTACATTATGGTTGTGGCCAGACATTAAATCCAAATGCGCTAAAAATCTCTCGTGAGACAGCCTGCCTTGCAACTGCAGCGGGAACCATGAAGCCTTTCATAGCAAGCGGTTGCTTTACTGGTTTATCCTCTTTTAACAGGTGACTTGCTGGAAGGTTCCATGGTAGAGGCATTTAAGTAAGTGGGTAAAAAGAGCGAGCCTTCTAACCCACGGCTCATCAGAATTCCTAGAAACTTCATACTCTATCATGTTTATCAAACTTTACATTTGTTTTTAAAAAGAAAGGGGAGAGATGTTATTTACCAGAATATCCTGTAAGTTCCATGGACGCCTAGTTCTCGGAACCACACTGCGTGATCAACACAGTGTGGCAGATGAGGGGCCAAGGGCATTGTGAGAACCAGGATTGCTTTTCCCTCCCAAGAATATTTTTGTCACAGAGTACGCCTTCTCAAAAGATGAGCCACACAATCTGTCCTGGGGCTGGGGAGAAGGCTCAGCCAGCAAAATGCCAGCCACAGAGGCATAAGGACCTGGACCTGAGTCCCATCCCCAGAACCCACCTGTCAAAGCCAGACCTAGTGGTGTGTACTTGTGACCCCAGAGCTGGGGAAGCCGAAACAGAAGGATCCCCGAGGCTCAGGGACCAGCCAGTGTAAGCAACCAGCAGCTTCTTTCCACGGAGAGATCCTATCTCAGAAAACAAGGCAGAAAGCTCCTGACAAACAGCACCCAAGGTTGACTTCTGACCTCTAAACACACACACACACACACACACACACACACACACACACACACACACA